AAAAAAAAAAAAAAACTTTAATCCCTTTTTCCCTTTTCTAACTATAACTTCTCCTCTAGCCCATTGCCATTTGCCTCTTCTAGCTTCAAGCTTAAATTTTCACTGTTCACCTGCTAAGGGGATAATAAAAGAGATAGAGTTGCATTGATAATAGTCCCATGCTTTACAATTTACTGTTAAGGGGATAATATGAAAAACAAATGCAATTCCCCAGGTAGAAATTTTAAATTTAGAATATAATTGGATTTTTATTTTTTACTTTTTGTCTGCATCAACTAACCTTGTTCCTGTCACGCCACCCTAATCCGAATGGTCTCGAGAGTAAACTGATCTTTCTTATCTGGGTTTCTTGTGAAGGTTCTTGATTACTTTGTTGAATGGATCTTCATAGAAAAAAAAAAAGTAATGTAAAACAAAATTACAAACCTACCCTTTTCGAAGTAATATTCAGCTGAGAAGAGACTGAAACGATGTTCTTTTTAAGGGGTACTATGATATTTCCAAAGAGAGCATGTTGTTTTTTGATAATTAGGAAAACCTCGAGGAAACTGTGTAGTTAACGTATATTTTTACAACGATAATTATACACAAAAAGAAAATTAAAAATTTTCAATTTTTACCGAGGAGAAGGCTGAGCCGACTGGTACTGCAAGGTGGCTTCCAGCATGGACTCGGCCATTAATGCCCTCTTTTCCATCTCACCCAGAGCTGCACTTAATTCTTCATACTTTTCCTGAGTAAATGATAATTAATTGCAATCTTACCCCAAAACATCATATGCCTCCAGAGTGACTTTACACCAAATGTTTCCTTTTGTAATGAAGTTTTCTCTAACCTAAAGCAATCGAAGAGAGAGGAGAGAGAGAGAGAGAGAGAGAGAGAGAGAGAGAGAGAGAGAGAGAGAGAGAGAGAGACCTGAAGCACTTGAGCAGCATATCTCTGGGAAGCAGCATCTTGCTCGGCAAATATGCGAGCATCCTCTGTCACTTTCTGTTCTTGTTCGACCCTCATTAAAATCTGTATAAGTTGATAGCAAAAATTAACATTTAATCAACAAATAAGTATGGAAGATTAGTAATCTGGTCCAATTACCAAAAAAAAAAAAAAAA